CATGCAATATACAGCATTTTGATGTCTTATTGTGCTGCTATAAACTTTCAATAATTGGCCCGTGGCTTTTCCAGGTGATCACTCTGTCCTATCAAGCAGGAATTTGAATTTCTATTTTTAGCCATCAAATAATATTGAAAATGTCAGCAAATAATCTTTGAAATGTAGGTTGTTTGAGCAGAGCTTTGTAGAAAATCTGAACTGATCGGACCATTTAATAACTAGGATAAGTAGATTGCATTTAGCAGAAGGGGACCAATTTGTTTTCAGTGTTTTCCTTTGAAAGGAACACATCTTTGGTAGGAAAACAAAAACGATTTCCAAGGGATTTTATTTGTATGAAGATGCACGTTTTTCACACCTTGGTAATCAAGTTGGTGCCCATCTAATAAATTAGATCCACTTATCTCCATCTAAGTTGTAATTTTTCATGTTATTGGACTGTTATAAAATTGTTTCAAAAATTGTTATTCACAATTGTTTTAATTGAACGAAGACTAAATGTTTTTGTATTTTTTGTCTGAATGAATATGATTAATGGTCAAGTAAGCCAATTTCTTTATTACCCCATTTGAAAGTTTTAAGCATGCCTGATTTTTCGTTTTTGTCAACAGACGGAGGAAGCATCGACTTGGAACAGACCCAGGATTACGTATCTTTGACGGAGTGGAAGAGAAAACCAGATGTAATAGCTTACTACAGATGTAGGTCACTGAAACCAAATGAAAGTCAAAAAAAATATGTTGATATGTATGGCTGGTAAGTTCTAATTCTTTCAAGTTGAACCATATTATTGGCAAATTTTTTTTCTTTCTCCATCATAAATACAGACAGGGCCATATTTGTCATCAGGCTACATAGGTAGCTTAAGAGCAAAACCCATTGAGGGGTGCAAAATTTTTGAATATGTCAAGAAATTTTCAAAGTAATTTTACTGAAAGTACATATTTTTTTTTTTTTTTTTTTTTTNATTTTTCATTTTTGTCTGATTGCATATGAATTTGGGTCATGGGTGTATGGCACAATTTTGCGTGTAAATGTTTTTGGTGGGATTTTAAACTCAGTTAGTTTGGAATACTGTAAACTAGGGATTATTTCACCTCCTATCAGTATTCATTTGAAGATCTCTCAATAGTTTTCCCAACCTTAGCACAAAACTTTAATGAGAGACTCGATATAATACATTATGTATTTAATCTATATTTCTTAAGCCTCACTAATTGTGTTTTAATTTCTCTTGATGAATTACAGCTATCTCTTTATCACCAAGACACATATTTATGCTCTCCGAGAAATAGAATCAAATCCCGAAATGGCTCACATTGTTGTCAAAAGACCGTTAGCTTCCATCAGTCGAATTTTAAACCGAGTGAAACACCCGAACATCATCACCTTAAAATACTGCTCTATTGAGAGTGAATCCTCTGATGAAACAGATATGGATCGGTAAGTGCATTTTGCCTCCTACATCACCCTCTACTTGAAAATAGCTGAAGTGGCTCTTGAATGCAGACAAGAACCTCTACTTAAATAAAACTATTGTGAGTGTTTCTAGGAAATTTTCCGATCATAGAAATCATTGAAAGTGCTGCTCTCTCATACGTTTTAATTGAATTTATTTAACATCATGATTGCCAAATGAATTTCATATTTATCTGAAACTTTTTTCTACTAGAACCTGCTAAAACAGCTAAAATTCAAGGTAAAACTTGAAACGCTGGCAATTTGAGGCAAGACCGTTATTTATGTCAGTGGTGCTTTCCTGGTAAACTCAGAGTGATATTGTCGATTACCAACATCACTAACAGATAATGCTCGTTAGAGCACCCTGACCTATCAAAGAAAGCTATTTTTTTCACTTAGTTCTAATGGCCTGGAATGACCTCAACAAAAACAATGCCTTCTTGATATTAGACCGCAGTAGTCAATGTCAGGAAATAAATAGTGGAACTTAAAATTTCGGAATTTAATACTAATAATTTGGAATTCAAATTTAGCGAAAGCAAATTCAATGATGGAAAATAGAATTATTTTATCACTCTTTTAAAACCATTTCAGCAAAAAGATGACTCTATTCTTGCTTTATTGATTTTAAGTTGTCACACATTTATCAATGTTTTTATTTTGCAGGTTTTTTATTCCTGATTACAAAGAGGCAACGCAAGTCCTTAGTAAGCAGATTCTAAAGTGCGTCCAGAGGCAAAAAGCCAAAACTAGCAAAAACCAATTGGAAGAAGACTAAGTAGACAGTAATTTTTACCTCTCTTATTTTGATCTCAAATTCAAAATGGGAGGTCGTCCTTCTTTTTTTTGTCTTTTACCGTCACACACATGGGCTTTATTTTTCCATTTTCAGTCCAATGTGCAATACAATAGTTCAAATTTTTAAAATTAAGTTTAAGCAATTTTAACCCTCATGATTTGAAGTCATGAGTGCCATGTTTTCTTTTGCTGTAAAACTGAAATTTACCTACTGGATGCTGAACTCTGAAAAGAGAGTTGTAATTTTTCACATCAAACATGTGTATAAAGCTTGGAAAATGTTTATGTAACTGTCATAATTGAACTGATTCCAATTTTACTGAATTTTTTGTGTTATGTTGCAAGGTTTCTTGCAAAGCATATTTTGCCATTCCTAGTTTAATTTTGTGTTTTTATTAAAAGAGAATGAGAGGTAAGATTGTGTCTTCCTCTTATGAGCTGTGTAAAGTAAACTACAAGAGGGCCTCAACAAGTAATAAGATTCCGTCGATACTGTATCTAGAATCGTCACTGATAAAGCACTCAGGCAAATTAGGTGTCATTGACCAATGACCATTCTGTAAAATTCCATGAACTCAAAATCTTTTGAGGTGTTAGGAGATCGTTTTGGAAAGAGATAAACATCTTGGCAGCCTGTCAACGAAATCTCAAAATCTTTGGGCTGTCAAAAAGCAAAGAGCATGGTTAACAGAATTCATCCTACAGATTTTGTTTTTTTCTTTCTTTCTTTCTTTCTTTCTTTCTTTCTTTCTTTCTTTCTTTCTTTCTTTCTTTCTATGATTCCAACACAAGGAGGAAAAATTTGGCTCCCACAAAATCTTCAAATAATCTTTGAGAACTGAATCTTAAAGGAAATAGACGTAGGAAAAAGTATGATTTCTCAGGAAACCATCAACCAAATTATAAAATAAATTTCATGAGAGCCTGATTCCCAAAATGTATTTATATGTAAGAATTTTGAAGGGAAAAAAAGAAACTTGCATGGTTGTATCTCACTGGTATCTCAGTATTAAAATTAAATAATGAGAGCTGTAATTAAGTGTTTGAAGGGTCTGTGGCAGACCATAATAGGGCCCTTTTCTACATTCAGCCCACCACAATCAATAAATAAATAATGTATACCCAGTTGAATACTTACAGCTTTCACTTATTCAATGAATACCATATAGTCCAAACTTTATGATCCAGGAACTCATGATGAATGCATCCTCGAAATGAATGAAATGAAAAATGAAATGAATCAACATTCCCCCTTGTCATCCTCCCATTGCTAACAATATGTAGCTACTTAGAATGCCTGGTGCTAGGCAAGGAATCTTTTATGAAAGCGAGAAGAAATACTGTTCAATCTGTGAATAATTCTTTTTCTTCTTCCCCCCCCCTCCCAAATAATTACAGTCTCCTCTTCTTGTCATTTTTTAAGTGAAAAAGGAACTCAATAGGGAATTGGTTAGAGCAAAATGTTCCTTCAGCACAATTGAATAAAATTGTTTAAGAGCTGTGAGGCACTTCGTATGGTTAATTGTTTTCTTCAGATCGTTTATGCGCTCTCTGAAAACCGTCTGGTTGTTTAAACTATTTTTATGTAAGTGTCAGGATTTAATCTTTTTGTTTTTTCTAAAAGACAAATGCCTATCATTACTCAATCTTTCTCTGATAAATAGCCAGACTTCAGCCAATCTAGCCTTTTATTTAACTGTTAAGACAAGAAAAAAAAAGCAAGTGCTGTGAGATAAAATTACAATGAACACACGAAAGACCCAAAAATTATACTTGAATAATCAAATGTCTTGTTTGTATCTAGGATATTGAGAATCATACCAAGAGAATTAAAAAAATCACAATTCGTTATGATTCTCAAAGAAAAAACAAGTTGAAATTTACAATGTATGTGCTTGTGAAGTGACATTTTTAAAAATATTGAGGCATTGACCATTATCTTGAGCTGATCTAGTCTTTAAGTATTTACCTTTAAAAATCTGGAATATCAAAACTTAGTTGTTGGTCTCACATCACTAGTTTTACCTTTTTTCAGAGTACAAGGCTCCTTGTAATTTTCTTTTAATATACTTTTTTTTTAATATTTCTTCCATGAAATCACCAAAATGTCAGTGTACTCATGCACTGGACTGCTCAATCATTGATTTCTCATATGATGGCAGAGTTCGCTCAAAAGTGACTTTTAAAAAATGTCAGGAAAATGTCTGGCTCCCAGAGTGAAAGATCCTCTATCGAGTCTTCTCTCCATTAATTTTCGTTTGGTGCTTGTACTATACTTCGTCCATGAGCTCACAAAGGGATAAAGTCAGCTCTGTTTTCCTCGGTTCCATCCAAATATTACGAGGAATTATTTATAACACTATTCTTGGCCCTCTGTATGAGAATTTAGACTTTTTGCATTATGCCAATGTTGATTTCCATTATTTTTTTTATTTATATATCTCCTTTACATTTTCCAATAAATTTCCCATGGTTTACTATCATTTTAGGTTTCCATTTTTGCTCCATTTTTTATGGTGATTATTTAGTGAACTATGCATCACGCAGTTATGTCCTGGCACATTTTACCTCTAATTGATTACATTTTCAGTTTCTTTTATCTTTATTAAAGATAGCGATTACCGATCAAAGTGACTTCACCGTAATTTTTCAATTATTTTAATTTTTGTAATAAGTCATTTGTATTATCTAGTTGAATTTTGAAATAAATTATTAACATTTTAACTCTTCTTCACCTTTTTAATTCTAATATCATACATTCTACTTCGATATTTAAAAATTTTAAACTAGTGATCAACATTTTCAATTCCTCCTAAAATTTTGGTTAGAAAGGTCTTACAAAGCACAGCTGTTATATCAACAGAGAAAAGGAAATAATATAACTCGAAAAGCCAGAGGGAAAAAACTGCAAGTCGATAATCTGAGTGCAATTCTCTCTCTTTCTCGATCTCTCGTTTCTTTTCTCTCCTGAATTTTTTAATCCTATTGGATTTGCGTTCCGTTGTGAATTCAGTATGATCTGAAATCATGCAGAAAGCAAAGTACCTAATTAATAAAACAATGTTCATCCTGAGGCTTGCAAAATATCTTATAGCAAATTGTATGAGACTCTCAAGATGAAGATACCCGACATCACCAAACGAATTCATGCAATTTAAGTTTCAAGATCAATGAAGCTTGCATCAGCTTTTAATTCTTCAAAATGTAATAGAGTGAAAACTGAAACGCATGGCGTGAGCATTAAGAAACATTAAGAAGCACCAAGCTTTTTAACTGACTTATTTCAGCGATGACCAATTTAGAAGATATCTTAATTAGCAGTGTTACCACTTGAAATTCCGACTGTCACTCAAATGAACGCTGATAAGAAAACATTAGTATGACTGGCGCAATTGGTATGCTCATTCTTAGCCATACACCAGGCATGTACAAGGCATTTTTCCAAAGTTTGCCTAAATAGTTTGTAAAGTCTTGCATCGTTTGACTGCACTTTAAAATGACGCAGAGGTAGATATCTCAGGCACGAAGTTTAAATGATACGCGCGCAAACTTTGATTTTTAGAGGAAAAAACAGACGGATGCCTTCAATGAAGGAAGTCAATAAAATGCGTAGGTAGGTAGGTAAGTACCTATACCTCCATTTGAAGGTTGAAAAATCTCCAATTATTAAGGTTTAATATTTCAGTGGAGAAGTAACCTAAATACCTCCTTGAAATTTTCCGTGAATTTCTTCGAATGGACAAAAACAATTATTAAAATATTTCGAGCTATTAAAAAAAAAGGCATGAGCGGAGATTTACAACGTCGCAGTCAGGGATGCGCATGTTTCGGTTTCGGACATCGTACAGTCGCTTAAATTTTTACAGGATGTGCGTAGGTAACTGGGAGATTTCAGGTAAGGAAAAATCAGGGACAATTTTATTAAGTCATTATGTTGATTTGTTTCCCCTCTACGACGTACATATCGACGGTGAAAGTCGGCAATCACATAACTCGGTTTGCGACGTCGCAGACTTCCTGTCATACTTTATTTTTTATATGGAAAACTACTCAACGGCAATTCTTTAAAACTGTCATGATTTTTCTTCTCAATGCGAAGAAAATTCTGCAAAAACTTCAAGAAATAATATCAATTTGTTCTCCTTTAAAAAAATGACGTAGAGGCGGAGATTTTCAGACACCGCAAACGAGTTATGTGATTGCCGACTTTCACCGTCGATATGTATAAGTGCACATTTTGAAACGTTGCAAATTATTGGGATCCGCGGTTTCGAACTTCGAGGCCAATCAAACCGCTGATTGGCCGTTGCACTTGACGAGTAGCGCGTGGCGGGAAATCCGCGCGGGCAGTGAAAAGTAATAGGTACATCATTTTTCCGTACTTTGAGATGCGAGTTGTGTGACTTCTCCTGAAATGAATTGTTCATGGTTTCCACAAACATAGCATCGTGTCACGTAAATCTCAAGAAAATTCGTGAAATATTTTATAAAATTTAAATTTTACCCGCCTTCCAGTTAACGGAAGTTCTACCAATCGCATTATCGTCCGCCAAACGCGCAGAGGCGGGAATTCTCGTTTAGGAGGCGCGGGAAATTTGAAATGACGCTCCTCTCCTCGATTGAGCGACAGAGCACAGCCGCCGTCCGCAGCGCGCATGGTGCACGACCCGCCTTTCATTATTACACTCCTTCTAGTGTTGAAAGTTCACGAATTACTTCACACGAACAGTGTGTAATTTTAAAAGTCGGAAATGAAAAAAAAAAAAAAAAAAAAAAAAAAAAAATTAAAAAAATCAATCTAACACGCAGTTGTCCAATTACCAGAAGTTGCTAATTCATTAAAAAACCCCAGAGAGCTCTTCCCGCTAGAAATGGTTCACCACCCGCTCCCCGGGAGCGCCGACGCGCACTGACGCCTACAAACATACAGGGCTACTTCACGCATTGCGTAATGCTTGAAGTATCCCTGTAGGTTTGTAGGCGCCAATGCGCGTTTCGCGCCGCAGCGTGCGATGTGGAACTCTGCGATTACGACCTACCCGCGGGATAATCGACGTGCTGAAAGTGAGGTATCATTCCATTGTTGTCGAGTTTAGACTTTGTCCGGAGGTGGCTCCCGCCACCCATGATACAGATTATGAAGGAGTTTCTTGCAGCTGCAGTCTTCACATTGATGGGTGCTGACCGTAAATTCTTCGTTTCACCTAAATTGGGACATTTTCTCTTGTGTTGGAAATTTGAGACATCCATCATTTTTTTAAAACATCCTGCTCCTCCAGAATGCAGCTGAGATGACGGATTTGAACTTTTTCTGTACCAGAACGGCTGATCATTCATTCTTCAATGTTCTACCCCTCTCATAAGGAGGAAAAAATAAATTCTTAAGAGTAATTTATTCTAAAAGTTGACAAAGTCATCAAAAATCATGCAAAATAGAAAAATTACCCTCTCAACCACCCAAGTTACTAAATACTCGTGCACCATTGTCTCATTATTAATGCACACTCGACATTAATCATATTCAAATTTGTTTTGTTTAATTTTTATTTTAAGTCTCGCGATAGATCTTGAGACAGAAAGGTAAAGCTCTGAAAACGCTATAGTTTTTCGACAAGACGACGGATGTGTTTTTGCTCAGCGGTTTAAATGAAATAAAACGGTCCCCATCGCTCTAATTGCCTTTTGTAAGCTGAATTTAACCGATGCACATTATTTTAAGTTCATTGAAAAAATTCAAACCAATCTGGTGAGGAATATTTAATATACATAATAAACCAACAATTTTGATTGAAGCCTAACGTAATAGTAATAATACATGCATCATTATGATTTTTTCACGTAGAGAGTTTTTGCATTATTTTTACTTGTAAATTTCTTGTTAGATGCATTTTTCTTTTCTGGTGTTGTCGAGCGGTGCAAAATAGTTAAATGGGTGGAAAAGACAAGCTGCAAATAGCGCTGCAGTCTGTTTTTAAATTAGAGTAATAGAGTATGAGCCTACTTGACATGTGGGTCAATTTTCATACACATAGTCGTATCCCTCCGTACACCTTTCAAAAATCGTGCAAAATCTGTGAGATGAAACAATATGTAAGGGATCTCAAAGGTTCGTCTGAAAAATAGTACCAAATAATAGTAATTGGTAATAAAAAAAACCTAGCGTAAACAAAGCCTTGAAACTCACTCTCAATGTATTAATCAGTCGTATGTTTCTCTCTCATCTCGAAAGATAAATAAGTGAGTGGGTATACTTGAGAGGAATCGAGCAAAATTGTATTATCGCACTAGGGAAGGACTTAAAATTCGCAGACTGAGTGGTATTCTTCATGTGAAAACGCGAATAGTTTCGATTCTCCGCATTGCCTCCTAGCTTAATTATTGCAGAAAGTGAGGATCATCCACACCTAGGCGACATAGTCAGAATCGCGTGCGAACAGTGATTTGGAAAATCAAGAATTAAAGAAAATCGAAAAAAAGAACTTTATTAACTTAGTGACATTTTCATAAATCCTGAAATGAAAATGTTAGTGGCATACCGCGCAACTCGAATGAGAAACAAATACATTTTCAGTTTCCTTTGTGTTGTGTTCAGTGCGATTCAACTTGCTGCATCTTCACCAGGAAAATTCAGCAGAGCTCTTCAATGGAAATTAGATGTTCCGTCTGAATTGAGTAAATCAGGTACCGAAAATATCAATCTGACTATACTTCATTAATGTATTTATTTCTTCATTATTTTCCTTTTTTTAAAATAAAAAACACAAAAAACTTCATTTTGGATTATATTAGTGCACAGCCAACATTTTTACGGAGTTGGAATGCGCATTAGCCTCAAGAAAATTAATTTCTCTGGAATTAAGAGGCGTGAAGAATTAGGTAATACGCCACGTTAAAACAATTTCGATTTGCTGAAAGTTTGAAACTTTGAAAGGTAATCCAAGAAAAAGGCTGTATGAGACCGACTGCTATGTTAAAAGCAAATTGATTCAACAGGGGAACTCTCGAAAAAAAAAATTTAAAAAAAATATAAAAACATTAATAAAGTAATTTTTTGGTTTGAAATTACGTATATCTAGCGATCATAGTTTCGGCATGACCATTTTCAATGCAGAATTGAATAGAATCGCCATAATAAAGAATCTTAATTTTGAAATTACCAAACAAGCACTACAAAAAAACTTGCGCCCTGTAACCCTGTTACCCCTCTTGTCCTCAGATGCTCTAGAAAAAGATATACGGTAAAACACCATTTCCCCGCAAATATGTGAACAATGAGTCACTCCCTGCAGTTTATCTAGGTCGCACTCGACTTTTTTACAAGTAAAAGCAAATTGATTAAACGGGGGAACTCTCGAAAAAAAAAATTTAAAAAAAGTATAAAAACATTAATAAAATAATTTTTTGGCTTGAAATTAAGTATATCTAGCAACCATAGTTTCGGCATGACCGTTTTCATTGCAGAATCGAATAGAATCGTCATAATTTTAGGTTCGGTTATTTCGCTGCATCCGCAACATCCAAAGGATCTTAAACTTGAAATTACCAAACGAGCACTTAAAAACTTGCGCCCTGTTACCCCTCTTGTCCTCAGATGCTCTAGAAAAAGATATGCAGTAAACACCATTTCCCCGTAAATATGTGAACAATGAGTCACTCCGTGCAGTTTATCTAAGTCGCACTCAACATTTTTTACAAGTATGTGCACTAATCCACCTCTTCTCTTTAACAACTTCCTATATCAATCAAGATCTCTTCATAATGTTTCTCGAACTTGTACCACAAGTCTGGAATAAAATAGTCTTAAGACCCCATCCATCGTAATCCTAAGGCACTTCTAACTATTACCAGTTACCTATCTCCGCATTCATCAGTCAGATGTTATACAAGGTGATCCATAAATCCCACACCACCAGCTCCAGACATCACTCCTATAACTTTTGAATAATTGAGATATAGACTTGACATTTTGTGAAAGCTAGGTCAAAGAAAGCTACTTTCGCCCCCCCCCCCCTCCAAAAAAAATTAAGGGGATAATCCTGAGAAGGGGCAAGAACCCTATGGGTGACAGAGGGGATGGGAGACTTTTGGATCACTCTGTATGCTCTGTGAAGAGCTGAGGTGGAGTATATAAGCATGGTTGCACTTGATATTAGGATTTTCCTAGCAGAGCTAGTGGCGAGGCGTGAATGATCGATTATCGATATCTCCCTATTTGAAGCTGTGGTGAAGAATCGATTATTGAGGTGTTCGTTGCGAACACCCTGTTTATCGATCCTTTTTCATAGTTTTAAGTGGCAAATCAATCGAAAAATCGCAGAGCAAGTCACGCCACTAAGCAGAACAGACAACGAGGACAGAGATGGAAGATGAAATGTTGCGAAGTGAAATTTCTTTTTACTGAATAAAGTTGCGAATAATTTCATAGAGTTTTTAGGGGCTGAAAATGAAATCCGCAAAAAAGCTAACTCAAGAAGGAATTTCGAAGGTGGACACATTTTTGTTAAACTGTCAAAATCGAGTTGAGACTATTACAAGGCGTTTTGCGGCCTACTAGTATCTTAAAAAAGTTCATAAAAATGTTATAAAAATGTGTGAAATTTTGCACCTACGAGCGGTGTGATGGATTTTTTTGTAGTACTCAATATACCTCATAAAGCCTTAAATTTTGAGAGTTTTCATGAACCTCGTGTGTTAATTTTCGGCGAAACCAGAGCGTTTTCTTGCAAATTTCCTTTATAAGAACGAAAAATAAAAAGATAAAAAAAATATACACCAATAAATTTCGATAGATGATCCATTTGCTTTTAATTTCTGAACAAAACAAAATTTTTTCACAGACTTCGAAAGGCTGTACACGGGAGGGATGTTGGATGAGCGCAACGAAGAAAAATTTGAACAAATTCAAAAGCTCCGTCGTCTCCACGGGTCAAAAAGATTGGGAGCAGAACACGGACAAGTCGGCGAGCTCGATTATTCAGATGTCATACTTCGTCTATACAGGCATGTCAGCACGAATATATTTTATCCTTAAGTCGCATGTGACCGTTCACGGGGAAATGGACCGTAGACCACAAAAAAGCAAAATTGATTTATTAATCTTGGAGCGTAAACGAGTGTAATATGCACGTTTTGAGATGAAAAACGGTCAGAGATGTCAAAAAAACATTGAAAAAAGTAGTTTCAAGAAGTATCTATTTTTGCCATTCCAATCTGTCGTAGTGAACGTGCAAAATCAACCGAATAGACCGGCTTTCGGCTTCCTTCAGGTACTTCGCTAAGCCCAATTCACACTATCAAACTTTTCATCCGACATAATTGAACGAAAAGTTGGATGGAAAGTTGAACGCAAAAAAAATTGATTCAATTACTCTCCGTTCAACTTTCCATCGTTGACAGTTTAGCCAAAAGTTGAATGTGACGTCACATCCAAGTTTCCGTTCAATTTTTCATCAAATTGGCGTTTTCTTGCGTCAATATCACACTATCTAACTTTTCATTCGACAACCCTGGTAAAAATTGGCAGTAGAGTCTGTGTTCCAAAATACCATAGACCTACAGCCGACTGTAAGATTTCCAATAGCTTCTATAGCCGGCAACACAATTTCTTATAGCCTTTTATAGCCGATGGCGATTAAGCAACAGCCTGACGATAAAGTGTATTCTATCCGTTACTAATTACGAATGCTAGGACTTACTGAGTTTTTGGACTACCGTTCTCTTTTTTGGGCCGTATTATCTTGATTTATTTTGCGAGGGAAGCTCCGTACTTTTGAAGGATGCCTGCCATTCCTAATATGCTGGAGTGCCTTCAATTTCGTACGATACTGTGCAATACCTCTGGTGTGAAATAGTTGCTTCAAGCGCCGTGGCACGCTGCGGCGCAGCGCGGCGGGCGGGCAGCCAGCGCGAAACGCGCATTGGCGCCTACAAACCTAACAGGGATACTTCACGCATTGCGCAGTGCGTGAAGTATCCCTGTTAGGTTTGTAGGCGCCAGTGCGCCGCCGTTCCGCTTTGAGTTAGGCTCTAATATTTCATCTCGTGGAGTCAGCGTTGTTCAACTCATGACTTTGAAATGTTTGCACACTCTGTATGGATTATTCTCATTTTAATTGATGAAAACAAATATGTAGTAAAGGAAAATATAATAAGCGTAAACATAAATACCGGGTGTCCATAAAGTAACTGAAAAGTGGGTATAATTTTTGAACAAAAAAAGATAGAAGGTCGCAGTTTGTGGCATTCTTCATCATATAAAAGGGGAAATTTTTCGATGGGGGGCTTTTCCTGGTGGACCCCCCTGGGGGGACCCCAGGGGGGGCAACTTCAAAAATTCAAATAGCAACCCCCATTTTTTTCTACATGGTTAAAAAGAACTTAAAAACACAAGAAAAATGGCGCAAATAAAATTAAAATCGGTTATTTCGTTCAAAAGTTACAGCCGGTCAATGTTTTAAATTGACCACTTTTCAAAAAATCGCCGATGAGCTCCAAATTATCGGAAAAACAAAAACAAACCAGGAATGAAAAGTTTGAAAAGTGCTTTTTAGGAAGAGGAAAAACAACTGACGTTGTCACAAGTCTGGATAGCATTGTTTCAAAATGAAATTTCGGAAAATTCAACATGGCGGCAAATTTGAGGAAACGCAAAAAATGAAAATTCCAGAAACTGTTATCTTTCAAATACCCTCTAGTTTAAGGAAATCAAAGGTATCACCTTTTATTCTTTTATTTGGCCAAGTAAGAGCAATAATTTGCTGACTTAAAAGTTGTCAAGCGGGGCGCCTTCAATCGTTGGAGTAGAAATTTTTAAGGACCTTAAAAATTTTTAGAAATTTTTAAGGTCCTCCTCCTCAAATTTAACGAGAAAAAAGAAGAAAAGTAAAATTGAGCAATTTTTACCCACAAACTTGGCGAGCCAAAAAAACATGATTTATCCTGGTGGGGTAGGGGCGGTGGACATTTTTGACATTTCTCTCTCTGAAAATTAAAAATCCAAGAATAATTTTAATTCTCTGACTCCTGGCACTCCAATTTGGCAAGGAGGATAGCTGCTACGCTTCACCGTCACGGTGCGTTTTAAACAATTTTAATGCGGTCAACATACCACCCGCGATTTTTTTGCGGAAATGTCAACTAGAAGGCCTACTGATTGAGGAACAACAAACCGCGAAATCTGTGATGGGGCCGTTTTTGAGAAAATGCGATTTTTCGCTTTTTTGGCGGGAATTTCGGGTCAAGGCGCTGAAAAAGTCAAGTTAGGCTGTTTTTGTAGTTCGTAAATGCATATCCTATACATTTTGAGTCAATCAAGTGCCAGTAGATAGCTATTCGTGCATATTGCCCAAAATTCATATCCTTAAATCCACGACTTTTGGGGTTTTGGGGGGTTAGTCCAGGAGAAATCCGAAAAAAAGAGGGTTAACCCGGAACAAATTACTTAACAAACTTTTCCTACGTAAACTTCTTCAGTAGGTCCTATTGAACAACATACCAAAAGTTTACCACGGTTCGCTCCCGGAACACCCCCCCCCCCCAATTGCCTAAATTTCAAAATGGCGGCCATAATAAGGCCTC